CAATGAGGAGGATGAGCCATCCATTTCTTCAATAACCCCTTACGGAGCCCCTTGGGTGCCGGGGGAGCCCTGGTGAGCAACGGGTGAGGGCACAGCTGTTGATGGAAAAGCCAGAGGTTCAAACCCAGTGGCCTCTCCTAGGAGGAAAGACCTGGAGACCTGCCCTCTCTCCTATTTCAGCCTCGGACAGCTTCCGGGGCAGCTCTCCTCTGCGCTGCCAGGCTGCCGTGAGGTGGCGTGGACTTGACGGCATTCTCGGTAACAGAGAATCAGGGGATTTAAAGAGAGGCAAGACGACAGCATTGGGTGGTCCAAAGAAGGGGGGAAAGCACAAACCTTGAAGTGCCCAGGGAAGGCTGAACTTTTAGGGAAAGTCTTCGGGCGGCGGCGGCCTTGGTTACCTAGTGCTGCCACAGTGCGTGGCTTTACTTCCGTAGCACAGTTCTGGGGGCGAAAAGTCCAGATTGGGACCTGAGCTGTATCAACTCCTGTGAACTTCTCTCCTAGCTTCTAATGTCTGCTGGCAATTCTTGGCATTCTGTGTGGGTGTCTCTATGTGTATTCTGCCCTTTGTATAACGCAGAAGTGATTACGTTTAGGACCCACCTTACTCTGGTATAATTTCATTAATGGAACAGAAGATATTCTTATTTGTAAGCAGAGTCAGTTGTATTTGTAAGCATAGGGGTTAGGATCTTAACATATTTTCGGTAATATTGAGCTAAGCCTCAAAGGGAATGAAAAAGTTAGGTCTTCAAATGGGTGGAGAAAGGAGAGAGCAGCTATTGCAAACGTCCGTCCGCGGCCAGGAGCCCGTGTGGCATATTATACTCCAGTGGATTGGCGGCCAGGCCTCCATGCCCAAAGGGAATGGTGTGATGGAGGGAAGAAGAGGTACAGGAACAGAGTGATGGTAGAGAGCCGGAGCCTCTCCCTTAGGGTTGCCAGGACATTGTTGAGCTTTGTGCTCATGCTTTGAGTGAGCTGAGAAAGCCAAGGAAGAGCTCTGGGCAGAATGACAGCACCTGACCTCCATTTTACAATGACCATGTGGCTGCTGTTGAGAGAGACTGAACAGAGGTACGGAGAGTAGCAGGAAAACAATGAGGGGAAGGTTCTGAAAAACTCCAAACCAGTAGGCATGGTGCCTCAGCCCATAGTGGTCGTGAGGGTAGAGACGAGTGGCCAGGCTCTGGATATATTTTCAAGGTGTATTGCTGTTAGGGGTCATAAGTCAGTTCTGACTCACAGTGACCCTAAGTACAGCAGATGAAAGAGCGCCCAGTGCTGGGCCATGCTCACAATCACACTCGAACCCACTGTTGCAGCCACGGTGCCTATCCATCTCACGGAGGTCTTCCTCTTTTCTTTTTCACTGAGCACCAGAGCTCCTCAGCATGCTGTCCTCCTCTAAGGACAGGTCTCTCCTCCTAACATGCCCCGAGTACAGGAGATGATGAGTCTCCTGTTAGTTTTCTAAAGCCATTGTGCTCTCATGGGGCAGGTCACTCTAAAAGGGATGAGGTTATATTTCATGTGGTTTTGATTTGCATCTCCCTAATGGTTAAAGTATTGAAAAGCAAGGACGGTTCTTTGAGGACTAAGGTGCACCTGACCTAAGCAATGGTATTGCAATCACCTCATATGCATGCAAAATTGAATAAGGAAGACTGAAGAAGAATCAATGCAATTGAATATGGTGCTGATGAAGAATACTGAAAGTATCAGGGACTTCCAAAAGAACAAACTACGTACTCTGTCTCGGAAGAAATACAGCCAGAATGCCCTTACGTACAGTGAGACCTCATCTCACCCACTTGGGACGTTATCAGGAGAGACCAGTTGGCAGAGAAGGACAGCATGCTTGGTAAAGTGGAAGGGCAGCCAAAAAGGAGGAAGGGTCTCAACAAGATGGACGGACCTAGTGGCTGCAATGGCATCTGCTGTGATGACATAGTGGCTCAAGCATCATAACAACCATTGTAAGGACAGTACAGGAGCGGGCAGTGGTTCTTTCCGTTGTACATAGGCTCACAATAAGGCAGACCAATTGAGCAGCACCGAACAACCAATGGTTCATGATGTGGAGCATCTTCTCAAGTGCTGTTAGCTGTTTGAATGTTAAGAGACTGGGTGCATTCACCTAAGACAGGAGGATAGGTT